ATAGGGACCCTCCCCAATAGCGACACCCCCCCCAGGGAAAAGGACCACCCCACAATAGGGACACCCCCCCCAGGGAAGGGGACACCCCCTCCCCCTGTGTCCCTCCCTCTGAGGGCACAGGACCCCTCCAATAGGGACATCCCCCCCTGCCCCGAGGGAAAGGGACCACACCCCAACAGGGACCCCCCCCAAAACAAGGAAACCCCTTCAGCAGCAGAGACACTCCCAGGGAATGACACCCACCCCCGAGTGTGGGTCTGGGGGTGAGGGGGGCGGCAGTGGAGGTCACTGGTCCTCCCCAGGAGGGGGTGACACCCCTGCAGAGGAGTCACCAGCTCTTGTACCCCCCTCCCCAGGTCAGGGAGGGCCGGGGGGGCTCCTCCAGGCACAGATTTCCCCCCGGATGGGATCCAATGCCCCCACCCCACCCCGGGGCACCCACTCAGGGTTGGAGCCCCCGCCGGGGTTGGGGGGGTCTCCCTGCCCCTGGCACTGCCATCCCTGGCGGTGTCACCTGCTCCCAGGGTGGGGACAGTGGGGTGGGGACACCTGCCATGACTGGGCAGATTTTGGAGGGCAGGGGTTCCTCTCCCTGCTGCAGCCCCACAGTGGGGGGGACACATGTGTGACAAGGGGCTCCTGAACCCTGGGGACATGGGGGGGACATGGGGTGGGGACACAGCGTGGGGACACAGTGACATGGGTCAGTGGGACACACGGGGTGGAGGGACACAGGGTGGGGGGACATGGAATTAATGGGGGGACATGGGGTGGGGGTCCTGGCAGGGTTCAGGCAGGTCTTGGACAGGGTGGTGACACCGGTGACCCTTCCTGCCCACAGGTGGGGGAAACTGAGGCACGGAGGGGTCACCAAGGTGGCCAAACTCTGCTCGGGGGGGCACGGGGGGGGGGGGTGTTTTTGGGGGGGCTGAGGGGTGTCACCTGCCTGTGACAGCCCCCACTGCCCCCCCACAGGCAGCTCACCATGGCCAACTCCAGCCACATCCAGTCGGCCGCCTCCAAGAGCATCCGCCCGTTCCGCTCCAGCGAGGAGTACCTGGAGGCCATGAAGGAGGACCTGGCCGAGTGGTTCAACACTCTCTACGACCTGGACATCCAAGTGGACACCTTCCTGGAGAGCCTGGAGACGGGCTGTCACCTCTGCCGCCACGCCAACAACGTCAACCGCACCGCCCTGGACTTCCAGGAGCGGCACCCGGAGGCGGCCGCCCGCATGCGGGTGCCCCAGAACGAGGTGGTCTTCCAGGCCAAGAACGTGGTGCCTGGCTCCTTCATCGCCAGGGATAACGTCTCCAACTTCATCCAGTGGTGCCGGCAGGACCTGGGCATCCAGGACGTCCTCATGTTCGAGACCAATGACTTGGTGCTGAAGAAGAACGAGAAGAACTTTGTCCTCTGCCTGCTGGAGGTGGCCAGGAGGGGCTCCAAGTTCGGGATGCTGGCGCCCATGCTGATCCAGATGGAGGAGGAGATCGAGGAGGAGATGAGGGACCAAATGGGCGACGGCGCGCTGGGCACGCGCCGGGAGAGCCGGGACCTCCAGGCGGGCGCCTTCCCCAGCCGGGCCCGGCCCATCACCCTCTGCGACCTCAAGAACCTGGACGAGCTGGTGAGACACGCGCTCCCCTGGGAGCCCTGTGCCTGGGTGAGGGCCTCGCCGGCCACCCAGCTCCGGGCACCGCCGGGGCCCCTCTGCCCACCCAACGGGCGCTCTGTGCTCCGCGGGAGCTCCCGTCTGTCTCTGTGGTCCGTGGGAGGTCCTGTCTGCCCACCCAACGGGTGCTTTGTGGTCCATGGGAGGTCCCACCAGTCTCTATGGTCCTCTGTCTCTGTGCTCCATGGGAGGTCCTGTCTGCCCACCCAGCGGGGTGCTCTGTGGTCCGTGGGAGGTCCCACCCTTCTCTGTAGCCCTCAGGAGGTCCTCTCTGTGGTCTGTGGGATGTCCCATCCATCCATCCCTTTGGTCCATGAGAGGTCCCACATGTCTCTGTGGCCCCCAGGAGGTCCTCTCGTGTCTCTGTGTTCCATGGGAGGTCCTGTCTGCCCACCCAGTGGGTGCTCTGTGGTCTCTGGGAGGTCTTCTCTGTGCACCCAACGGGGTGCTCTGTGGTCCATGGGTAGTCCCCCCCATCTCTATGGCCCTCAGGAGGTCCTCTGTCTGTCTCTGTGGTCCATGAGAAGTCCTCTCTGTCCACCCAGCAGGGTTCTCTGTGGTCCATGGGAGGTCTCATCTGTCTCTGTGATCCATGAGATAGATGATCCATGTCTCTATGACCCCCAGGAGGTCCTCTCTGTCCACCCAACAGGGTTCTCTATGGTCCATGGGAGGTCCCACCCATCTCTATGATCTCTGGGAGGTCCCTCCCATCTCTATGGTCCGTGGGAGGTCCTTCCTGTCCACCCAACAGGGTGCTCTGTGGCCCACAGGGTGTCCTCCACCCACCCATCCCCACTCTCCATGGCCATGGGAGCTCCTCTCCACCCACCCAGGCTCCCATGGAGCCCCCTGACTCCAGGGGGGTTATTTTGGTGACCATTGCCAAAATCCCAGTGGGGACTCTTGGTGCCACCTGTGCCTCTGCCACCTCCTCCTCCCACGGTGGGGGGACCCAGCACCTGCTCCTCCTCCTCCCCTGCCTTGGCGCTGGTGTCCCCAGGGATGGAAATGGGGACATGGGGGGGCAATTTGGGGTGTCACAAAGGGGGGTGCAGGGACCACCCCCCCTCCCCAGGGGCCGGGAGCTCAGGAGGGATTAAAGCTGGGCTGGGTGCAGGATCCGGGACAGCAGATTAATCCGGGGCTGGGGGGGATACAGGGGGGCTCTGCCCTGCCCTGACTCCCTAAGCCCAGAGCCGTTTTTTAATTGAAACCCCGATTCCTCATTAAGTCCCTCATTAAAGAGCATCCTGCACCCCCTCCCTCCTCCCAGTGCCGCTGCCAAGGGGGGGCTCCCCCCTCGCTGTTCCCCCCCTCTCGCTGTTGCCCCCCCAAGCCCCCCTGGCCGGGCGGTGCCAACCCCGGCTGCATTTTTCCGGGCTGCGTAATTCCTCACCATCGGCTTTTATGGGCAGTGCTGGAGCCGGGGAGGAGCCTCCGGGAGCAGGATCCGGCCCCACCAGTGCTCAGGTGCCCCCCCCCGGGGTGGCAGCAGGGTCAGGACCCCCCCTCACTGCCCCCCACCCCCCGCTCCGTGTCCCCAGTTCGGGGCTGTCCTTGTCCCCCGGGTGGGAACCGGAGATCGCATATCCTGGGAGTGCCCCCCGGGAGTGCCCCCCGTGATGGGCACAACGGCAAGAAACGCCTCCCACCCCCCAAAAAAAACCCCCAAAAACGGAGGAGTTATTAAAACACCCCAAATTCGGGGGTGGGGCGGCGCTGCGAGCCCCGGGCCGGGCCGGGGCAGGACGTGGCCATGTCCCCGCGTCCCCCCGTGTCTCTCCCGGCCTAATCCCTGACGTCAGCCCGGCAGATCGGGCCGGCAGCTGGCACCGGGCACTGCCCGGCCCCCCGCGCCCCTCGCACCCCTGCCAGGCGTTCAGCTTTAGGGGCAGGCAAAAAAAAAAAACCCGGGATTTACCCCATTTCTGCTGGTGGATGTGGGTCCCGCGCCACGGTTTGGGGATTAGTGGGGTCGGGGAGGGGGGGGGGGAAGTTGTCCACACATGGAGGGAGTTGTGCCCGTTCTCAGCCTGCCATGGGAAGCCCCCCACGGGTGCTGTGGGTGCCCCCCAACACTTGGAGCTGCTCCCACTTCCCCTCCTCCCCGAGCCCACCCAGGTGCTTCCCAGGGGTGGGAGGAGGGAGCTGCCATCCCGGGGGGGCACAGCCGGCCCCCTGTGGGGTCCACGGAGCCCCTCCGCGTGCCGGGCTGGGGGGCCGGCCCTATAATGGGACCACCCTATAGCGGGGGGGAGTCCACCACGGTCTGGGGGGCCAGCCCTATAGTGGGACCGCCCTATAGCTGGGGGGAGTCCACCACGGTTTGGGGGGCCAGCCCTATAGTGGGACCGCCCTATAGCTGGGGGGAGTCCATTCCGATCGGGGGGGCGGCCCCATAGTGGGACCGACCTATAGCTGGGGGGCGGGGGGGTTCACCCCTATCCGGGGGGCCGGCCCTATAGTGGGACCGCCCTATAGCTGGGGGGAGTCCACCACGGTCTGGGGGGTCGGCCCTATAGTGGGACTGCCCTATAGCTGGGGGGAGTCCATTCCGATCGGGGGATCGGCCCTATAGTGCGACCGCCCTGTAGTGGGGGGGGTCCACTCCGATTCTGGGGCCGGCCCTATAGTGCGACCGCCCTATAGCTGGGGAGAGTCCACCGTGGTCGGGGGGCCGGCCCTATAGTGGGACAGCCCTATAGTGAAGGGGGTCCACCACGGTCTGGGGGGCCGGCCCTATAGTGCGACCGTCCTATAGCGGGGGGTCCGCGCCGCACCGACCCCTCCCCTCCGTGCCCGCAGGTGCGGGAGATCCTGGGCTGCTGCTCCTGCCCCTCGCAATTCCCCATGGTCAAGGTGTCCGAGGGGAAGTACAAAGTGGGAGACTCCAACACGCTCATCTTCGTCCGAGTAAGAGCCCCCGCGTCCCCCACCCCATTGTCCCCCCGAACTCCGGGACCCCCCCCTCCTCCCCCTCCTCCCATCCCGAGGGACCCCGAGCTGGATTTCCTGCCCACCTCGAGGTCCTGGGGGGCTGGTGGTGGCTCTGCGGGCCCCCCCCGAGGAGGGGACGGGCAGGGTGACAGTGGGGCCGCCCCCAGGTGCTGAGGAGCCACGTCATGGTGCGCGTTGGTGGCGGCTGGGACACACTGGAACATTACCTGGACAAGCACGACCCGTGTCGCTGTGCTGCCCTCTGTGAGTGCCCCCGGGACCCCCCACACCCCCACCCCGTGCTCCCTGCCTTGGTCTGCCAGTCCTTGTTCTCCTTGGGGCCCCATTCCCTGGTTCTCTTCGGGGTCTGTTCCCTGGCTTTCCACGGGGCTTTGTTCCCTCCTCCTCCATGGGGTTCTGTTCCGTGGGTCTCCATTCCCTGATTCTACATGGGGCCCCATTCCCTAGTTCTCCATGGGGCTCCATTCCTTGGCTCTCTCTATTCCCTACTTCTCTGTAGGACTCTGTTCCGTGGGCCCTCATTCCCTGTCTCTCTTTGGGGCCATTCCCTAGTTCTCTATGGGGCTCCATTCCCTTGTTCCCTGATGGGCCCTATTCCCTGATTCTACATGGGGCTCCATTCCCTGGCTGTCCATGGAGCCCCGTTCCCTGACCCTCCTTGGGTCTCCATTCCCTGACCCTCCATGTGGCCCCATTCCCTGGGGCTGAGCTCCTCAGGGAGCTGATCCAGCTGAAGGGGAAAAAGGGGGCGAGGCAGGTGGTGGTGGGGGTTTCCCAAATTAATTCCCGAGGTGTTCACCCACATCCTGGGATACAGCTGGGTATGAGGGGGGCGGTGCTGGGGTGGGGGTGCTGAGGGGGGGGATGCTGAAGGGGGTGCTGAGGGGGGGTTGTTGAAGGGGGTGCTGATGGGGGGGGTTGTTGAAGGGGGTGCTGAGGGGGGGGTTGTTTAAGGGGGTGCTGAGGGAGAGTGCCAAGGGCCCTCCCTGAGCTCCCCCC